AAATGGACAAAAATAAAAACTAATCCCAAGAGGGTTCTAACCTCAAGACGAATAGTACAAGAAAATAAAATCTAGACTACAAAATAAATTGTAAGAAATAAATGTAAGAATTTAAAGCATGAAAATAAAGACATGAAAATAAATCTACTCTACAAGTATGAAAATAAATCTAAGACAAGAGAGTTTTAGCCTCTTGGCTATTTAAACAAGAAAATAAAGAAAGAGACAAATTTAATTGCAAAGAGAAAATTTACATCCCAAGAGGGTTCTAGCCTCAAGGTGATAACAAACCTTCATCTTGATCTTCATCTTCATCCTATCTTCATCTTCATAATCAAACAAGGAGAAGAAAAAAAAATATGAAGAGGTAAAAATATTTTTTTATTAATTACAATAAAAAAGTTACAATTTAAAATGTCTTCTCAATTAAAGGGCTGCTTAGTTGATTTCATTGAATCAAAGAAAAAGAAATAAGATAAGGATATCACTAAAACTTGTTTTCCACCAAATTCCTCAAAAAATATCATGAAATGAGTTTCCTTAAAATTATGTCACATCCTTCAATAAAATAATGACAACTCATCTCATCTCATCTCATTTCTTACTTTTAGGAGGTGAACCAAACAAAAGAAAAGAGTTTATTATAGGAAATAGGTTTCCTATAATAGGTTTTCGTTTTTTTAACCAACCAAACAGCCCCTAAGAGTAAAAGAAATAAGATAAGGATATCACTAAAACTTGTTTTCCACCAAATTCCTCAAAAAATATCATGAAATGAGTTTCCTTAAAATTGTGTCACATCCTCCAATAAAATAATGACAACTCATCTCATCTCATCTCATTTCTTACTTTTAGGAGGTGAACCAAACAAAAGAAAAGAGCTTATTATAGGAAATAGGTTTCCTATAATATGTTTTCGTTTTTTTAACCAACCAAGCAGCCCCTAAGAGTAACCCTCCTCTTCGAAAGGAGTTTTTATAAAATATTTCACACCCTAACCCATCACTCTCTATCCTTATTTATAGCTTACAACAATGAATGAGAGTCCTTAGATTAAACTTGATTACCAAGTTAATCAATTTCAACTTTTAAATCGTAACTACAAATTTGGTATTGATACATCTATCAATGTAGATACTGATAGCGATACCGATACCAATACTAGTATCGATACTAGTATCAAAATCTAACTTGATAGATGGCTTCGTTTCATCGAGATAGGCGATTTCATATATTATATGTTAAATTTTGCCTTCCGGATTGGAAAATATCGTTGTTTCTTTGTAGCCAACCATCTTGAATATGATTTCTTTTCATGTTGGATTTTTATTTTCTCTGGCTTCTATAGGCTACTTGGCTTGATCCCGAGCTTCAATAAAAGCTTACAAAATGAGGAAGTTAGTGTCTTTTGGTATTTTATTCATTATTTCTTTATTAACCTGTAAATTAAGATAAAAATTATTAGCAGTATATTTATTCATATAAAATAGATAATGAGGATATAAAAATATAATAAAAATGTGACTATCATTAAACTTTGTCTATCGCTTCTTTTTTTAATGGAAAAAGAAAATCAAAGGTACATCCACTCTAAAAAAATTAGAAACCTAGGAGCATAACAAATGAGCCTGGATCAACACCTCTGGTTTTGAGGCTGTAGAACACCATGTAAAAATAATGGAGGCTCGTTGAGCTATACCACATAATCATCAAGCTCCATAGCTTTATGCGCCAACACATGATCCACTTTATTCCCTATTCGATGAACTACTAAAGTCCCATTCCTCGAGCAATGTACAATATTGCCAAACATCATCCACAAAAGGGCCCAAAAATAGAGAGTTTCTCCACTCCATTTTGAATACCAATAATTATTAACTTTGCATCTCCTTCAAAGATTACCCTCCCAAATCCAATATTAAGAGCAAATATTACATCTTCACACCATCAAAATTTAGCATGTTCAGCATTACCTTGGATACTAATAATTTAGCATCTCCTTCTAAAAATACTGCTCCATCAAAATTCACCTTCCAATAGCCTATTGACGGGGGGGCTCCACACCATGGATACTGTCTTCGTAGTCAAACTCGTATGCAGTTCTTACACATTTAGGAATAATAATCTATATTCATTGGCCCCACGCATGATTTCCTCCATCCCTCGAGGATGCCCTTGGTATTTCATTTCATTTCAATTTTCCCATACATGTCAACATATTACAAGGGACCAAATCGAAGCTCTCTAACTCCAGCCTCTTCTCTAGAATATGCCAACATTGTCTCATATATACTACTACCCTCTACAATTTCGCCATGCAATGCAATCCCTCAAATTTTCCACACTAGACTTGCAAAAGGGCAAAGACATAACACATGCTCGATAGATTCCTTAGTAAATCCACACACCCAGTAGCCTTCCTTTACTATCATTTTTCTTCATTGCAAAGTTTGTGGGTCGGTATTGCTTCGTGACACACCGTCCATGCAACGTCCATGCAGAGTGCATTAATATTTTATTTAGAATTTTTGAATCCCATATAAACTTACAACCCTGAGAAAACCCATCACTCGTAGTACCATATTCTTTAACTCTAGTTCCAATAGCATGATCAAACAGTCAAATGATATGCACTTTGAGCTATAAATTTGCCATTCGCTTGTAGTGCCATATTAATTTGCTCGAGTTTAAACTAGATCTGAGTCATATTGCCTTATTTTCTTGAGCTTTCTAGGGGGAAAAAGTTGATTCAATAAGATCCTCATTCCATTTGCACCTCTATGGAACAATACACTTGCTAACTGTACCCTTCAATGACAAGAAATTAACAGGAGTTTGGACCTTAAAAATCCATGGAATGGTGAGCCATTGATCTCACCATATATATTTTATTGTCATCGCATTACCCACGTGCAATCTAAACCCTGCTTGGATTACTTCCAAATATGGAAAAATGATGGTCAGGCACCTAACTGCACGTTGAAAACATCCCCCTCTTTGAAATATCTAGAGCTAAATAGTAAAGTCTCTCTGTTCATAGCTAATCTCCAAATTTATTTTGCTAATAAAGCTAAACTTAAAGCTTAAAAAAATGAAAACCTAGCCCACCCACTTGTTTTGTTGCACATAATTTATCTCAAGAAATCTAATTCATCTTCTTTTTTCCAGCCACGCATCCCCAACAAAAAATTCAAATCATACCCTCCAATTCGATGCATAGATAACCTAGTAGTTTGGAACAACTCATTCTTTAAAATTTGCAAACACTTTTGATGAGCCCACTTAGACTATATCATCTCTATTGTGTTCTTGCTAAAAACAACGGACGATTTCTGCAAATTTATCATCTGTCCTGAAGCTCTTTCAAATTTACATAATATCTCCCTCGCCGTTTCACATTCCTCCTTGCTCACATGGAAAAACACGTAGACTATCATCAGTGAATTATAGATGAGAAATTGTGGGACATCCCTAACTTCTATTTAAGACCCATTAACTCTAGATTAGGCTTACTTTCTCTCAAACAAATAATGGTTTGGAGATTGTAGAGGAGCCAAAGTACTCTCAAATTATCACCTAATTGAAAAAGATTTTGATCTAAATGAGAAAGATGAAAGATAGCAGCTGAGATTATTGCGAAAGTGATTGCTTCATATCCAGTCTCATAAGATAGTTGTTAGGTGATGCTAATAAATGCAAACATCACAAGTTTATAACAATCAAGTTATCATATTTAAAATATCAATACATGGGGAATGAGTGTATTAAAAAGATAGTCCTAAACGAGTTCTTGAAATGTGCACGAAAAAAAATATGAATGAGTGTGGAGTTTGGTGTGTTTTCGGTTAAGGGTTTGTCATAAAATAAAAAGCTGAAATAAGAGGAAGAATGAGAGAAAGAGAAGAACAAAATAAAAGAAACTCAAAATGGATATCAAACTAAAACAAGAAGCATAAAAAAATAGATGAAATCAAGTGAGAAGACTAATAATCTAGAATTGAATCCATTAGTTTATTTATTTCAATCTGAAGTTAAGAATTACTCTCCTTTTATTCGCATATTACCTATTATTAGGCATAGGCAATCAAGTTACTAAAAACAAGCATAACCTATCAAAACATATTCAAGCAATATTATTACTCATTAAAACAAACTAGATAATAACCTTAGAGTTTAAAAAATATATAAACTATCAAACCATTTAAAATAAGTCTAGCCTATTAAATTCTTTTTCTATTAATTAGTTCTCTAGTTGATTATCCTAAATATGATTATTCTAAGCACAAAAGAGAGCAATTTAAAATCCAAAACGAAATTAAGCTAGTTTCATCCAATCCTACAATTCCTACAAGAGATTAGCTAATCCTACTAGAAATTAAAAGAAATAAATTAAAATCTAAATTATAAAATATAAAAAGAATAAAAAATAAATCTAAACTATAAAGAAATAAAAGAAAGAAATAAAAAATCTACATTGCAAAGCATGAAATAAAAGAGCAAAATAAATCTAAACTACAAAGCAAAAAATAAATCTATACTATAAAGCAATAAACCTACACTATAAAACATGAAATGAAAATAAGAAATAAAATTTTAAAACATGCAATTCTAAAATAAGAAAATAAAAAAGAAAAATAAAAACTTACATTGCAAGGTTGTGCTCCTTGTGAAGCAAATCTTGATCTTTATCATTAAAAGAGAAGAAGACAAAAATTAAAAAGAAAGAAAATTTTTGATTTATGACAAACTAAAATTTATGATTTTAGAAGACATTCTCAATTAAGAATGATCATCCTGTCCAAAAAAGAGTTTACAAATTTTTTTACACTTTCCTAACCCCACTCCCTTCCTCTATTTATACCTACAGTAATTAACCACAACCCTTAGATTAGCCATGAACTCCAAGAAATCTTAATCAGCCATTGATACGACCTAATCAATTAGCTCATCGATTAGCTAATGATTAGCTTATCGATTAGCTAATTGGTTATTGAATGGATTAGCTCCTAACAGATTTTGTTTTCTACTATTGACTTAGTGACTCATTAGAGAGGGTTTCGATCCGTTGTTATAATACATTAAATTTTTTGTGGCTCTGATTCTTTTTATTCAGTGTGTATGTTTATCACAAAAGGTAAATTACAAAGAAAATCACTTGGAACTCACAGAAAAAAACAAATCCGCCTCCGCCTCTTCCTCTCCCGCGCTCACCTCCTCCTCCTCCTATGTTTTGCTTATTTATTTATTTATTTTTAAGTTTATTTTCCAGGGTTTAGTCTTTCCGTTTTAGGGATTTTTCCTGTCGAAAAAGTTTCTCAATTGTTCTGGTTACTGTTCTCTCCTTACGTCCGACCTGCAAAATGGCCCTCTCACCATCTATGCTCCTCAGCTGTTCGACGTTATGCCTAAAAGAAAGAGCCCTGGCTGCAAACCGCCACAATTGCCCCTTGTCATCCACAAAACCTACTCCCATGCTGGTATTCTCTCCTTCACCACGCGCATTCTATAATTCTCTTATATCCTTTATTGGCATTATTATTATTAGCTTTCTTATAATTTTTTTTTCTGTTGCTACTGTTAAGAAGGTGAAAATCAGACCCCATCAACAAAAAACAAAAGCCCACAAACCCAGTTCTAGTTCTGGCGGCAGCGGTGACAATGACGGCGACCCGTATCTGATGACTGAAGAAGAGAGGAAGGAGATGAGGAGAAAGATCAGGGAAATGCTCGACAAGGTTGAAGACCCGGCGGAGGAGACCGACCCAACTCAGAGGAAGATCAAGATGCAGAAGCTCCTAGCTGACTATCCTTTGGTTGTCGAAGAGGAGGACCCCGACTGGCCTGAAGACGCGGATGGCTGGGGTTTCAACTTTGATCAGTTCTTCGATAAGATCACGATCAAGAACGTAAAGAAAGACGGCGGCGACGAGGATTACGACAGTGATAAGGAGATTGTTTGGCAGGATGATAATTATATCAAGCCTATCAGAGATATCACTGTGAAAGAATGGGAGGATACTGTATTCAAGGACTTCAATCCCCTTGTTATACTCGTCCACAACCGATACAAAAGGTTGACCTAGTTGTTAGAAACTGCGCGATCAATAAGATTGATTCTTTTTCCCAGTGTCATAAGTGAGAGATTATACGTATGTATGTAGGCCTCGAGAGAATGAAAATGCAAGGATCGAGCTGGAAAGAGCCATAAAGATGTTTTGGGAGACGGGACTCCCGTCACCAAGAGTAAGCTTCTATCAGACCTTGTGGCTTATGTTTTATCTGGTGTTGCCTTTTCACTGATGTTGACTATTTCGGTGCCGTGACAGTGTGTAGCTGTGGATGCTGTTATTGAGGAAGAACTGGTTTCAGCTCTTCAAGTATCCGTTTTTCCTGAAATAATCTTCACAAAAGCTGGAAAGATCTTGCACAGGGATAAAGGTAATAACAAAACTTTTATGCAGATATCTTTTGCTAGTTAAGAGCATGACATGATCCTTTTAATGGGATGTTCGCAGTGGTTCGAACAGCAGAAGAGTGGTCTAAGATGATGGCATTCTTCTATTATAAAGCAGTGAGGCCCTCATGCCTGAGCAAAACTGATGGACAAAGTCAAGAGAAGATCCCATCACTGTCCTAAAAACTCAACTTTATTGACTTTTTGTTTGTTTTCTTTGTTATAGGATGTCTTAAGATCATCTCATGAAGTAGGAATGTACCCTCTGTGTTACAAATAACAATTTTGTTTTTCACCAATTTATACACAATTTTTCTTTTGCTCAAGCCAAATTTTCAGTCGTCAATAGAAAGCTCTATGCAGGGAAAATAACAATAGAAAAATCAAAACTAGTCTTAATAGATAATATCTTGAGTGATCAAGAGTCTTAATAGAAAATATCTTGAGTGATCAAGCATTGGTTACTATCCAGGAAATCTTGCTCCATATCAATCTAAATTTACATGAAACGAGCCACTAAGCGTGCATACATAATAATGCATTAAAGTTATGACAGCAAGCAGACTTCTTGGGAAATTGAAATGTTTTTCTGATGAGGAAGTTCATGGTAAGGGATTTGGTTCTTCCTTACTGTTATGATGTATGCAGGAAAAAAACCTAAACACAGGCAAGTCTTCCCCTATTGTGAAATGGGGTTGAAACTTTTGGCATTCAAAAGTATCAAATTTTTTGAGGATTATTATTATTATATACATGCACACAAGAAATATTGTATGTATGTAATTATGTATGTATGCATACATACGTACAGATATCTATGCATACACATGTAGACACACACACACACACAAACACAGAACACAGGCACACACAGAACGCACACAAATGCATCTATATTTGAACATAGAAGATTCCAAAAGAGTAAATAATTATCCTAAGGTCTTTCTCCATGAAAGTTTTATCAAACTTCTTGAGTATTCTGCATGACTATGCACTTTTATCTGCACTAGCAAATTGATTGACATGTGTGAATATTCTACATATTGTTGACAGCTGCTTACAATTCTAGATTTTAAAAGTTTTTTTTAAGTTTCATCTTGTTGGCATCAGGAGCTTTCAACAAATGCTTGATACTCTGCATTAAAGCTCTATTACAGTTTGGGTTCAGGGTGCAACAAATGAAGGCAAAAGGCCACAAGCACAGAGATGTGTATGCTTTTCCATAATAGTTTGACAATTCATGCATTATGCTCAGTTGTAAAAAATATATAGCATATGCTTCCAAATTTTCCATTGTTGACCGTAAAAAATCTTATCACCTTTGTTTTTGCTGCCATCCTTATTTGCTAAACCCAAAAATTTCTCCAGGTGGTTTGTGCTTCTACAGAATGTTGTGGTGCTAAATGTAATTACTTGAAGAATATATCAGAATTAACACTGGCTTAATCTGAATTGCTTTTGCTTGGTTTTCTGATTCAATGTCGTTAACAATATTATTGATTTATATTTTAAAGGTTACAGATCCCTTCTTTTATTTTCTTTTTGGGTCCCAGTATATGCTGCAATAGACCAAATCTGAAACTGGTGGAGGTGAAGCGTAATTTCTATTTTCTTGCTTTGCTAGGTCTGGTTTCGTGTATAATTATTCCCATTGACTCTTCCTATATGTATCTTTGTTTTCTTATACAGGTTGTAGCACTAGAAGAGGATGGCTGCCCAAAAGTTTGGGTGGTCACATCTGATGCTTGTCAGCAGCAAGCTGCACATGGAGCTGTAGGCACTTATCCTAATGCAGGGTAGCTTGCGCACTGAGAGTTTGAGCATCTTACTTTCCTTTTCCCACTTCATATTACCATTTTTCCACAAGAATTTGCTATTTCACATGATTGGTACGTATGATTGGTTCTCTATCCTTACATCTTAGGGTAGTTGAGATTGCAACCCATTTATTCTCGTAGAATTTTTTCCGGCTTACATGTAAATACCATAAACAAATGTCCTGATCATCCTCATCCACTCGTCCTGCATGGAAAAGTATGGTTTTAAGAACATGAAATATGCATTCTTCAAAGTTCATAAGCATATTAAACACGGATAGATCCTCAGCTCTACATGCTAGAACAAGGTCATAACATCTTTTCGAATACTATTATAGTTTGGAGTTAGATTGAGTGACCCGCAAAGCACTGAAAGCCCATCGTGAATTAACAGAAAATAGAGGAATATCGTGGTTAACATATTGCTATTTATGGAGACAAAAAATGAACATCAAACATGTAGCAAATAATTAGAAGAATCAGGGACAACTAATCTATAAGAGTTCATAATATGATTTATGTTCCTTTGAATAGGGTTTGAAAGAGCAAACGTGATCTTTCTGATAAAGAGGTGGAGACGATATTTGAATAGGTTAAGTTTGGTTAGGATAATTTTACGGTGAACCCTTGAATTTCTGTCCTCCAAAGTTGCAATATATAATTCATAACAGCAACTCAGAAGGAGCCTAGGTGATCAATGGAACTGTAACTATTAACTGTAACTGGAGACATTCAGTGTCAAACCTGCAAATCTTTACAAAGGGTGGGGCAGTGACACTTATACAAACGCTCGGAATAACCATTATATGCACTGGCAAGAGAAGTAGAGAGTTTCTCATTCTACTTGGAGCTTTTTCACTGAAGAAAATGATATTATTTCCCAATCAAATGGAGATGAGATTCTCTAAAGTTTGTGCTTACGTTGGATATCTTGACAATCAAAGCTTATTTGTGGGAGTGTACTTCTGATGCCAGACAAACTTTCCCAAGCAACAGTATCAGAATTCTCTAGTAGAGATACCTTCCAAGGTTTGTGGGGAAAGGTATCGTTATTTTAATTTCCGAGTAACAGTGCAAGTGAATGCAAGTAATATTAGGTCATGATTGGTTAGATGACAATAAATGTGGTCATAATGAATATGCCGCAATGAACATGGAAATGCTAAGGCTATAATGAACAAAGTTTTAAATATCGGTTTTCGGGGATTTATCGGACAGTCAAAATCCATATCGGATAGCGAATATCAGTGATATATCGGGAATAAGTAGTATTTATTGGAATAACATTACCGGATGGTGATATACATAATATAATATTCTAAAATATAATCTAACCATACTTAATGAAACATAAACATACCAAAATGCAAGGAATTTCCTTCGAAGAGTCCTCATAGTCCCAAGCGGCTATCACAGACTTAATCACTGCTCCTATGCTCATATGAGCTTTCGACTATTGGAGCTTCAGTGATATTTGGCCTCATTAAATTCTAGTTCTGGCCAGATTCATTCTTGGATGGCGATTAGAAGTCAAGGTCGCTTTTCAAGAAAAACAACCACTCTTATGGTGGATCTTCTGCTTGAGTGTTTTCTAGGGGATTGAAGATCACTCTACCATTTAATTGATGGTGTGCTTGACAAACATTACCCAGGTAAGTTGCTGAGACTTTCGAGGATTGCACCTATGTTGGTTCCTCTTAGCCAAAGTTAACCCTCATTTGCTTGAATGATAAAACTTCTAACTTCATTTAGCTTGGATGATGCAACTCCGATGTTGTTCTTCTGGGTGAGTAGAATCAGACCCTTGATCAGAACTTGGCATGTCTTCTCAAAAAAGAAGAGTGACCTCACGGTGAGCGCCAAAATGTTGATGCTCAATATCAAACAGAATAATCCAGAAGAGCATGGTTGTGGGGTGATGAAGAATGATGGAGGGCCCGTTTCCTTCTTCGACTTTATGCCTGGTTCTTGAACAAGGACTTGATGTTCATGCTGCATAGACAAGAAGAATCCATGAGAGGGCAGGGACCAGTTCCCCCGTGGTTCCACCGACAATCAAGTTAGTGCAACTCAAGTGGAGAAGGGGAAGGTCAAGAACCGAAGTGGTTCTTAAGGTGGCAATGTGCATGCCCAGAGAGATCTACCTGAGCTCCTCTGTGTTGATGAAGGAACTGTGTGTTCTTTTTTCTGTCCATTAGAGATGATCCTCCCCTTTTCTGGTTTGGATCAGATAGGTTATCTATATCCCAGCCTGGGGAAGCGGTGTTGGAGTGCAGCCTAAGAGCTGAGTCATCCCTCGCTTTACAGGTGTCGACTGGCGATTGGGGGGAAGTCACTTTAGCTTTGGAGAGGATGTCTCCGCATTTTCTGGAAAGCGATTGAGAGTGTGGCAGAAGGCATACTGGCATGTTGAATCATCCCTTGCTTTACAGGTATCGGCTAACGACTGGAGGGAGTTATTTCATTAGGGGAGAGTATGTCTCCGCATTTTCTAGAAAGTTATTGAGCTGACAAGTCATGGAGACCTTATCAGGCTAAAGTCTAGATAAGGTTTGTTCGAGGTGGACTGAGATGTTGACATATGCTCTGAGATAGAGGCTTGGGGCTGGGGCCAAGTTCTCAACTTAATCGGTAACAGGGAATGTACCTCTAGTCGTTTCTAAGAAATTCCCAGTAAGTGGTGGAGTGCCCTAAGTAAGGTCATCCTCGATGATAAGGTCGACCGACACCACCTTTCGCGTCAACTCGGGAGTGCCGGCCTATTCGACTGGTTGGAATGTCATCTCGTCTTAGCTAATAATCGTCTCTCGAGTCAATATGAAGATGTCGACTCCTCTGAAAGGTCAGGATCTCTCGTGCCGACCAATATCGTCTCTTGTGTCAACACCAGAATGTCGGCTTGATTAGTCGGTAGGGCCGAGACCTCTGTGGTTGTGCCTTGGGTTTATCCCTGATAAGGTACAAATGTCTTATAATTAGCTATGATGGTCGAGTTGCACTGGAGGATTCGACCATATGTTGTGCTTTGAGCTTACCTTGATAAAGAGCCAATGACTTGTAATCCGACTGAGGAGTGAATGCCTAGAACTCTTAAAAGTTGACTAGGTCTTTCCTTCCACTAAGACCGAGAGAAAACTGTGGGAGTTGGCCAAAGGGTTGAGCTTATTTTGCTAGGACCCTTATCGTATCATTTTGCAAAATATATGAAAAGGTGAGAAGGAAAAATGAATAAAATCAAGAAACAAATAAAAAAATCAAGAATGAAGAACAAAATTCTAGAATAAAAAATATAAGAAATTAAAGATAGTGGATTCAATTATAGATATGGTAATCTAAAATTGAACCCACTTCTTAGAAAAGGGTGATTCCCTAGAGGATTCTAGCCTAAAGGCGAATCAAACAAAATAAAAATAAACAAAAAGAAAAACTAAACCCAAGAGGGTTCTAGCCTCAAGGTGAATAGTATAAAAAATTAAAATCTAACTACAAAATAAATTGCAAAATCTGAA